TCTATCAATTCAACTCCAACGCAAATAGCTTCACATACACGTGTACCTTATTACTTTATTCTTAACTCATAACCGACCAACCGTGCAAACACAAACTTTCATCCCGAGCAGTAATAAGTCTTGGGCTACGTAACTCAACACTAGTCAAGGAACAACTTTAAGATTACCTAATTCAGAGAGGCAGAGCGACGTCACCGGCTTAAAGACACGCATACTTGTTACGCTCGTTGTCCTGAACCTAGACAACCTGGCCTTCTAACGAGACACCGCGGTGACACGCGCTCTTTCACCAAAGGGGGCCTGAGACTCTACACAAAACATGATACGATCAACACAGATAGCGCGAGTGGGCGACGGTGTGTGTCCCTGTCCAGCATTCTCTCTCTCGCCATAAGTTCAATGCGTAGAGCTAACACAGCTTGCGCCAGGCCTGATGCTCTGCGCATCCGTCGACGATGAACAGAGCGAATCCTCCTTGACCGAAGTCAAGTCCCAGATCAAGATGATTCTGCGGAGGCTGAACCGCAATTCGGAGCCGCAAGCAAGTATCGAAAGCGGAAATTACACATTACAGTACGGTGACCCCGTTTGTTTCCCCTCTCGTCTGCTCGCCTGTCCGTTCGGGGCCAAGTTAACACGGGTGATGTCCGTTCGTCCGTCTAGTTACCTGATCGCTAATGAGATCGTATTTCTCTGCATCTGCGATCGCTCGTACCCACGCAAACTCGCCTTCACCTACCTCTCAGACCTACAAGCCGAATTCTCCAACTCGTATTCGCAACAGCAACTGCATAGCCCTACGCTGCGGCCCTACGCATTTATGGAATTCGATACCTTCATTAACCGCACCAAGGCGACATATGCCGATACCCGCGCCACCCAGAACCTCGACAAGCTCAACGACGAGCTGCGCGATGTGACCAAGGTCATGACCAAGAACATCGAAGACCTACTGTACCGTGGAGACAGCTTGGAGCGCATGGGCGAGATGAGCTCGAGGTTAAGGGATGATAGTAAGAAATACCGGAAGGCCGCTGTAAAGATTAACTGGGATCTGCTCATCAAGCAGTACGCACCCATAGGCGTCTTTGGGCTTATTGTCTTGTTATTTATCTGGTTCCGATTCTTTTGAGTTTTTAAATCGGCTCTTGGATGGAAACGGGAGTATCATGGCCTACAATCCGCTGATCTTGGCCGCGCAATGGCAGTATATGACGGGTCATAGGTGGCTAACACGATAATCTTACCGGTGCTAAGTGAGCTAACTGCGTAGTTAGAGGCTATTGCGACTTATCCGTAAGTAGATAAAATCTGAGACACTGCCGAACACAAATGAGGTAGGGGCAGCCATGATAGTCCTGAGCTCTCTTTTCACCACTCAACCTGTGTATGAAACGCGTGAGTCGTAGGCAGAATTTCTCGCATTTGCAGGTTTTAGTTCTCCGGCCGACCAAAACGCCTTGCTATCTCCCATCGCTAGGCTAGAATTTTATGTATACAAGGTCAAATCTAGACAGGGAATTCAAAATGCCCCCTCATTATGCTCTTCTTTCGATGCAGGAGGAACCACGTCATAAATAATCGTATCACATCGTACACCAACATCTCGCAGCACGCCTGCGGCTGAGAACTACTCATTGCAGCCAATAGTCGTCACGCCTCTCTGCCATAAGAGTGGCCTCTTTCGACTACTCTCTAAGCTGATCATGGACCCAAAGAATGCCTACATGACCTCACAGCTCGAAGACTTGGACGCAACATTGGCAAGGCTGGGTATTAGACTGGCATGGCTCCATTCGAGGTGTTCCTGTAACATGGCGACGCTCTCGAACCCGCGCTCGTCCTGCGTATACCGCATGCGATCCATGCCGTCATCGCCTTGCTCCTCATAGTAATACTCGTCACAGAGAGGGCAGAGCAGCGGTGCCTGCCATTCGCCTGGCTCGGGCGGAAGATGATTTCCGATCGCGATAGGTGGAAAGATGATCGTCTTTTCTTCTCCCTTCAACTCCGTCTCTGCCTCTGTGTCTAGCCTCCTTCCTATTGTCTGTCCCGGTATACTCCGAAAGTTTGAACTACTACTTCTATCTTCGAGCTCGACGGATGAGTCTTGTCCAGCAGCAGGTGGATACTGACTAGAGTGAGAATGGGAGCGAGGATGTGTGAACCCTGTAGCGGCCCAATTTTCGAACGTGTCTGTTGGCGAAGCTGAGGCGTGCTGCCGTGCGCTGGGCATTGAACGTAAGTCCTCCCATACGAGGAATCCATCGCAAAAGTCGCAGACAAAGGCGATGTCCCTGTTCCCAGGTCCTAGCCGCTGAAATTTGCCAGTTGCATTGCAGGCGGCAATCTCTCCATTAAGTATTGAATTTGGTTGTGTCGTCGTGGTTGCTGTCGTTGTAGAAACCCCCCCTTCTAGATGTGGTGGTGGTTGGGAAGGTTGAGGGGGGTTATAATGATGCCGTTGTTGGCTCCGCCGCACAAGCAAAGCGCCTAGACACCGCGGCCGCGAAGAGGATTCCTCGAGGTCGTCGTGGATGCGCCGCACTGCGCGGCATTGTGCGCGGTGAAGTTCCCGCCTCAGCCACCGTGTTTCGGCTGCCCAGTCCGGTTCTATTGGCCCACCAGCCCGTACCCAGCACTTAAGGTCCTGTGAATGCTGCTGGAAGCGGGTGCACAGTTCACGCAACTCGTCAAGACTGTCCGCTATAATAGGTGGTTAGTACTGGGATATGATATTGCGCAAAACTCGCCTGCCTACAGAGCGACCACTGTGAGCATCGAGATATACGCATTGCAAATAAAGTTGAAAAACGGACTAACAGTCACTTGACTGATGAAAGGGCCTCGTTGACATCTCGCTCATAAGCCTAGCCCGTCCCTGAACGAGAAGGCCCAATGCGCAGGACGAGCGACAAGCACTCAAGTTCTAGTTAATAGCCGGATATAGTAATAATACATACCCTGTTGGTCATTCTCGTAGTAGAAGCGCCCATTGACGAGCGCGGGAAGTTCCTGGAAATCCCGTTTCGCCTCATCGAGCGTTTCTTCGAGTAGGCGCAGCTGTTCGAACTCGGGCGACGCCCAGGCGCGTTTGTCGGCGAACATGAGGATGCGTAGGGCATCCTGGATCGAGTTTGCGATAATGGCTAGCAGCGATCCCACCGTGTGGACGACTACTCTGCCGTCGCCGTTCATGTCCGTGCATGCACAGAGACGGAGGAATTGGCGGCGATCGCAGCCAAAGTCTACCGAGGCAGGCTACTTCCCTTTTCTTTTTTCTCTCTGCCTATTTCCGTGTCGGCAATCAGATCCGGCTGCTTAGATACCATACAAGAGCTCTCTTTTCGGGTGTGGCTGTCGCCTGTTTCTGCTGTTTGTATCGAATGTCCTGTTTCACCACGCAATGCACCATCGCCAACCGCATCCAGGCGGGTAGCAAGGTACACTTAAAGTACCTACGTAATGATCTGGCCTCAGAGAGTGGGGGCGCTCAATTCTAGGTAGCTATGGTAGCCTACAGGTGGTATGGTAGGAAGTATGAGTCGCCCAAATACTATACCTACGCGCGTACATGTGCGTAGATAGATAGGACTTGGGTAAGCTGGAATGTGGGCGGCCTCAGTTCTCACGGTATAGCTCCGACCCCAAGCCCGCTAAGTATTCGTGTCTCTTGTCGTGATGAATGAAAGATGAATAGGTCAAGAAAGGTGTAGTAGTATCCACGGGGGAGTCGGAGGACACGAGGGTTCTGAAGAGGGAGTTTAGGTATATTTGGAAAAAAACAGAAAGCTAAATCGGATTTTGAGAAGATGGTAAAGACGTATGGTTTTACATAATTGAGGTCCTTCTTGGTGGTTTGCCGACATGCGCTCGCCGTAGGTTGTTTCCAAATCAATGATTGGCGTTTCTCTTGGCAGTACCTACATGAGAAATACCTACCGTAAGTACACTACCTCCCTACAGTAAAGTTTAGGCGCATACATATAGGCAAGTGGTAGGGATACTGCCGAGACTGCCTAGGTGTGGATGCAGGTCCTTACAAAAAACAGGCACCTAAAGGTACCATACTTTAGAGACAGGTAGATAAGTACCTGAAGTACGCATACCTAGGTATCCACCGACCCCAGTTACCGCAATGCAATGATAGGTAAGCAAGCTAGGTACCATAGGGCTTAGATAGGTCATTTAGCGCGTCACGTATTCGTAGGCCATTCGTATTTTCCAGTGGATGGCCCTCGAAGAGAATATTGGTACAGCTGTATACGCTCTGCCTACGGCCGGTTCGTACATGGGCAGACATGGGATATGCATGTAGGAGATGTAGATAGGGAGGTACCTACATATATAAGATTTAGACAGGGCTGGGTATCCCTGGCAGACAGCAGAAGGAGATCACGTCATCCACTGTCTAGCGTGAAGTATAATACCTAGGTACCCCGTGGTAAGTCTGTTTCTAAGACGGAAACACTTGTGATAGTCTACACGCCGATACCCGGGTTAACGGTAGATTGGCAACAGTTGACGCGACTCGTGGTCTCTTGATACCATGGACAAATAACTATTACATAGCATAGGTAATCCAAATACTGCTCTGTCTTATTACTTTTACTAGAATTATATTTCCCGGCGGTATTGAGCAAGAGACCATGTACCATGTGGTCCCTCCTTTGGTTCGGTGCCGATACGTATTCCCGCCCCCGCGGAACCGGTCGACCCGCGCGGGACGGGGTTGCAAAGACACGCACGGTAGGTAGTATTGAGGCGCTTGTCCTAAATATTTCGTGTAACAGGGCGCATCGACATTGCGACACCAATCTAAGTATAGTAATCCTATGTCGAGGTTGATAATACAAAAATACCTACTAGGCTAGTGCCAGGAATAGCTAAATAAGGCCGAAACTAGATTCAGCTCTCGTTTATGGAGTATGCAATGTCTACCTAGTCTTAGATGTGGCTTTAAATATCTACTTGCCTATCACCATGGCAATGCACCAATCGATTGGATAGTATAGTGGTGAGTACAATTCGTTGTGGCTTAGCTGGTATTACCCTCCAAATGAACACCGAATAGACCCAGGTTCGATTCCTGGTCCAGTCATATTTTTGATCACGCAAGCATGGTACCTAGTATATTGCCTATAGGATATTTTTTCCCATTGTATTCTTGTTTTTTTTTTAAAGTTAAAGTAATTAATAACAAGAATTTAACTAAATGTATTATTAATATGGATCGAAGCTTTTCTGTGGTAAGATTTTATATATTATATCGAGATTTTTACGGAACATCGGAACATCTTTATTAACATTTTTACTGTTATTGTTCTACCTAGCCATCTCTTTCTCTAGATAGGTAGTGTGTTCTTTTTAAGTTAAGGACACTCTTCTGTATCTACCTATTAGTGTAGCGCACATTCAATGTCACTGTAGAGAATAGTCGAAATAGTAGGTAATTGTGGAGAGGTACTGTGCAATATAACCGAATGGTAAAGTTGACGAATTTACCTCTCGGTAAGAGGCGGACGTGAAACTATGATAACAAACAGTCTTTACTGACCTTGCCATGTATCACTCAGTTACCTAAAGCCGTAGTGCGGGTACAGCAATCTTATCATTGCTCATCTACTTCTCATTTGTAGTGGCGTCATATCATGCCTCGCACCCTTCACGAAATAGGCGCGCATATTGCAAATTACCTGCTCGTACCACCAATGCAAGTATAGCAGGTGATAATCCTATTCCCTCAAGCCATGCCAAAGACATTTACCATCAAAAAACTACACGCAGCTTCCACCGGATCTTGCGTATCACACCGTGCTTCTAATGAGATTAAGTACGCAACTCCAGTCCCTTCAGGGTATCATAGTACGAATCAAATCTCTTATTGTGGCGTCGTATTTTCTTCAGAAACCTGAATACTGCCACTTTTCATGCGACACTAGGTTTCTTGGGCCAAAGTGTTTGTGTTTTGGCCGGTCGTGTTACTGGGTGATCTAGCGTCATAAGCTGGCGGATCGTTGTTATCCGAAGGGGACTCATGCGCTTCGGGATTAGCGATTGCAGTATTGTTGCTAGCATGTTCTGATGCTGCTTGGGCGGCAGTAGCCGCAGCTGCTTCGGCCTCTTCTTGCCGTTGCCTCTCCGCCCGTGCCTCCGCCTCTACTTGGGCAATATGCCTCTCAGCTAGCCCCGGGGCGAGACTGGCGATGAAGAGAATGCCAGCACGCTCAAGCCGTCTAACCTGATTAAGTAGCCAGTTGGCGTTATTTTGACGGCGCTGTTGTACCAACCTGGCTGCCGTATTGGCTGGGTCCGGATCTGTTGGTCTTGCGGGATTCACTCCATTCACATCGCCGCCTTGAGCATTTTCAGCCGCAGGGTGCTGCTGCTGCCGACCTTCTGCGTCCGCAGCAAGGGGTATCAAGTTCTCTAGATGGCGGCGCAAGGGGACCCATATTTGCTCGGCCAAAGGATTCAGAGCTCCAGTGTTTACAATGAACAGGGTGATGGCAATCGAAACCACCGTGATCCATCGAGACCAACTAGATGTGGGGGAAGTAAACCACCAAATAAACAGTACTAAACGAATTATCATCCATATGTGCGGCCACACCTGGGCGATCCCAATAGCTTGAATTTGAGGATTATCAATCCTATGACCCATTTGACGTCCCATTGGGCCGGGCACTTGCAAGTCATTTTGCGGCTGTGGTTGAGGAGGTTGAGCTGGTGGTGAATTGGTACTACGAGGATTAGGTGCGTTTCCACTAGCTATGAAAGACTGTGGAGCAGTATGTTGTAGAGCTGTATGTGGGGTGCTTCCTGAAGTGAAACCAAATGTCATGGATGGAAGCGGAAGACCCATGGGCGGATAGGTGCGGAGTTGGGGGCTATAGTATGCTCCTGAACCACCACTTAACAAAATGGCACGGGGACCGCTTGGGGAAGAGAGGATATAGACTTCAGGAACTGCTGAGGGTGCCTGATTTACATGAATTCCGCTAGAACCGTTGGCAGAACGCCCATTGGCTCTTAAAGGATCCGGAGTGCCAGCCGCGCTAGCAGTACGTGACGGAATTAGCGGTGTTGTAACCCCAGGTGGAATCGGCTGCTGGCCTTGAAAACTGGCTAAATTCGATAGCGAGGAGCTACTAGCATTCCTTCGCATAGCATCTGCTATAGTACGCGTTGCAGATCCTGCATCTGGTGCGCGGGGAACATTTGGAACGTCAAAAGGGCCTATCGACCCTGCGCCGGGTACTGATCGTGGGTGCAAGATTGAAGGAGTAGGTCCTTCGGCTGAGGAAAAGGGGGAGCTTGTTCTCCCAGGTCTCTGTGTCGACGTGGCGACCGACTCATTGACGGTAAAACGCCACCGCTGTCCATCTGGGCCAATCCCTTCACGAACCAGAGTCCGGGTTGTCTCCGGTTGAAATGGTGACCCTGCCCTGCCTGGCGTCGTGGATCCTGGACCTCCCCGGTTCTGCATCGCATGGTGACCCATCACGTTAAGCCCAGGATTCTGATTCTGATTTGTAAGGTTTAAACGAGCCATTGTTTGAAACTGGTTCTGCAAGAGTTGTTGTGGTGTCACGCCGGGCGGAAGCTGAGTGCCATTTAACGCACCCTGAGTAGGGAAGCCAAAGGCGATGTTTGGATGCTGACTCATCCTAATGTATGGCTGGGCATGATGTTGCTGTGGGTGCTGGTGCTGATGCTGGTGCCCTGGGGTCTGAGACCGGGAGCTTGGTTGTTGAGTGGACGTGAATGGAGGGGTCGGTGTCGGCACCTCGGAAAGATCCCGTAAGACGAGATGGAGAGTCTGGCGCTCTGAACATCGAAGCTATATAGAGAATGTGTTATTACAGACATCTTTACAGTACAGCGAATAGTGTTTAGCCTACCGATTCTTCGCCAAACAACTCCTGCATAGTCTCCGAATCACGCGCTAATAGTCGTCCTCTATGGATGAGCCGTTGAGCATCATCTGGCGGCTGTGTACTGATACTTCTCCGTATCCGCTCCTTCAACTGCCGAACGGTTGTGGTGACGGGGAGGCTCATGCAAAGAGGTTGAGGCACGTTGATAGAGGGCGATAGGATCTGTAGTGTAAAGTGACCGGGCTCTGAGGCCGTAGAAGCCGAAGATATCGGGTCCGACATTGTTGCGACTGCTAAGAGCAACAACGAAGTTGGGAGTGCCGTTGGTAATTGTCGCGATTAAAAAATGTGGCCTGTCGAAGTCGGAGATTTGGGTAGACAACAATCACCATTAGTCGAGACAATCTGAGGTATCGAGCATGTTAGGCAAAATGACTCCCAGGTTGTAGTGACCAAGGGAGCAGCACATCAGATTTGGGTATAAGTGTGAAAGTTCAGACTGTGGCTCTGAAAAGAAAAGGGATTTTGATTGGGGAGACAGGGAGGAAAGGAAGGAACAGTGAGTGCTGTTAGGTTGGTTTGTTTTCACAGCAATCGATGTTACTGTTTGAATGTTCAAGGAATTGTTGTTGTTGATTGATAAGTGCAGTGGTGCCTCGCTGTCCTCAACACATACAAGTGTGTATGTGTGTATGTACCTACGTCCTTGCCTAGATCGAAGTATCGATGGCGTACTAGAACTGTGCATACCTACATGGTAGTACCTAGACAGGTACCTACCCAGGTACATACCTAGGTACGCCTTCTCGCCAGGAATAGAGAGATGACATGCATGTACGTGCCCTCCATATTCCATATTTAGTTTAGCGTATCCCAGACTAAGAACAAAATCCACGTTGCTTCAAGGGTCTTATCATTCTGGAGTCTGCCCGCTTACACCGCCCGATCCCGACCGGGGGGGAAGGATGGAAAGAAGCTACAGACTTACCATGTGTACTGTGTATCTAGGCCTAGGTAATAGCTAGCAAGGGAAAGCTGCACCAACCTGCGTCATGGGCTGTCAATCCTGTGTGGTACCTCTGACTGGCTAGATCTTTTGGAGTTTTGTGGTATTTTGCATCATAGTCCATCTCTATGTCTTCCTTCCCTGTTTCACTCCCTCTAGAACCTGCATGTCTAGATCAACGTCCTACTGTGACGAGGTGACTCGGATCTCATACAAGTCCCCCATTCACCGCCGGGGGATTTTCTCCTGAAGGGACGTCTGCTCGTAGATCTTTGACAATGGCAACTCCATTGATGCTTTCTACTCGAGGGCGAGTCCGCCTACCCTCAGGCTTCGAGCCACAATGCTTTTGTCGCCATCCGAAAACTGCCAATACCCGCCCGCCTTCCTGGCAATTTACGCCAAAGGCTTCATTTCATCATTCAAGGCACATATTCCAGAATCGAGAGCGGTTCGGCTCCAGACTTCGACATGCCCTGAACGACACCAAGATCAAGTGGTCTCCCATCCCTATAGGGCTAGGCATAGGATTCCTGGGATTTCTGCAGTTCTATAAAACACAGACACGGCGAAAAGAGAGGCAGGAGACTGAGGCATCTGCCGAAGAACCACTCCCGAAGAAACGGCCTAGAGTGCGCCCAGATGGACCATGGTAAACCGAACAAATCCAGAGCTCATTGGATTTTTTAGCTTACGCCCAATTGTGCACAGGCAGGTTCAAGTCATGTCAACTCTGCCTCTGAAGGCTATGTCGAGATTATGGGGCAAATTTAACGAGCTCACTATCCCATACTACTTGCGCGTACCCGGCTTCAAACTATATGCTTTTATCTTTGGCGTGAACTTAGACGAGGTCTCCGAACCTGACCTTCATGTGTACCCCAACCTCGCCGCCTTTTTCTATAGGACTCTAAAGCCCGGCGCCCGGCCGTTGGATCCAGACCCCTGTGCGCTGCTATCGCCCTCGGACGGGCGGGTCCTACAGTTTGGAAAAATTGAGGGAAACGACATTGAGCAGGTGAAAGGAATGACCTACACGGTGGATGCACTACTAGGGAAACATACACCAACGCCTAGTATCTCGAGTCAGAATTCTAAACTGAGCGATGAGACTACAGGACAACGACGCGCCAAGGAAAGCCGTCGTGGCGACGAAGAGCTAATCAAAAGCGACGAGGAATTCGCTCGTGTCAATGGTATCTCGTACACAATCCC